TTTTTTAATTTATTATATATATATACACACATACACACACACACACACACACACACACACACACACACACACAAATAAAAGAGATATGGTCAACTTAACCTAGTCAATTAAAATTCTTAGTAATTTCAGGTACATTTGGTTCCTGAGGTCCCCAGCAAACGTCTGAAACCGATTCTGCACAACATTGTCAAATGCACAAACTGAAGGAGAAATTTTTTTCCTCTCATCTTTCAGTTATAGTAACCCAAGATTCATTTTAATGATAGGATAGATTTAACTTTTAATGTAGGTCATTGTCTAATGTGGTACAGAAATAATAAAGATCTTAGGCTGCCTATTTTGTTTTACAGTTGAAATATTAAATATTTGACTATTTTAGACAATACAAAACCCAAGTAATTAAGGTTATACCAATCTGTTTTGAAAAGCTAATGATGCATCTCAATTATTAATGGTTTAAAACGAAAGACTAAATATTAAATAATAGATCAATTTTATCAGTATATAAATTTAAAATCAGTGGACAAGAAAAATTTAATTTTTTTGTATATAAAAACCATTACACCAATTAAGAGAAGTCAGGGATTTAGGTATTATTGGTAAAAATTTGTTACCGAACAGCAGCATGTGAAAAATATTAGAATCTTCTAAGCAACTATAATTTTACAAATTTGTAGGACTAGCTCTATCAGTATCAGGCTATTTTTCATAGCCTTCCAAAAGCTAGGTAAACATTTACTAAGTTATTTGACCCGACATAGCCTAAATTTTTTGTATTGGTGTCCATGCTATGCAACACAATATATAATGGTTATAAATACTGCACATTTATAAAATAAAAATGTTAAGGACCTCTTCACAAGTTTCTACTATGGTTTTTTTTTGGGGGGTGGGGGGGGAAAGGAGTGATCCAATTACACGTCAACACAGTGCACTTTAGTGGACAGGATGGACCAAAAGTCCTAGGCTTTATCACCATCTGTCCCTGGCTCACTGTAGCCAATCCTACAATAAGCTATGTACAAGCAGACCCCTTCGCTAGCATGGAAATCTGACGTCAAGTCAGTTCTGAATAAGTCACATTGCCAGTGTTAAAGATATAGCAGTCACTGACTGCACCTCCCCCGCCATGCTGGAACCCACCTATAAATACAAAAGTAGTAAATAGCTTATAAAACCAAACTGGATAACAGGGGGGGAAAATTATGATACCTCTCGGAGTTCTTTGATTTTAGCACCCTTGACGCCAATAATTCCTCCTGCCAGACTTTGGTGAATCAACAGCCTTAGCTCACAGTCAAAGTCACTTCCTTTGTAGTGCTGGTACTGTGGTAAAAGTTCATAGAAAATTTGTACACAAAAAAAGATCAGCAAAATATAGCACAAATCTTTCTTGTATAAATATTTAGCATAGGGCTATTCTGATTCTTTCAGATCTTACAAACTTCTAAACAGATCTATAGCTGATCAACAAAGACTGAAATTTGTTTCTGTATTTGCTATGCTTTGACTACATAACCACTGAAGAACCATGCAGCACTGCATGGGGTCAAGATAGCATGTTGCAACATCAGAACCAGAGCAAGTAAAATGAAGCGTTTAGTTAGGAATGTTCTCAATGTCCATTTTTGCCTGATTATTGGAAGCATTTTAGTAGTTGTGAAGTATCAAATTCTTGTATGTTTGTAGCTCACAGTTGACTTATGTTAAGCCTTAAGAAATGTTTTCTGCGATTTGTGATAAAACTGAATCCAAAAACTGATCTCTTAAATTACTGATACTTACTGTCTAAGAGTTTGTAACACTTCCCTCAATTAAAAGAAGCTTAATTTACATATAAAGAACAACACAGACAGAATTGTCATTTGATGTTTTACATTTCTGAAGATGCAAGTAGAAGAAAAAGGCGTACCTCTTCTAAGGTAGGGATAATTTTCTTCAAAATTTCTCCAATTGTTTCAATATCTGCACTTATACTCAATATGCTGTCAAAGGCCACAAGTGCCAGATAATAAAGAGAAGGTAAAAAAAAAAGTAGAAGTAAGTTTTGCATTCATAATCATAGAACTCAAACAACAAACTTACTACAGAGTAGAATTTACAGTATTCCCCATTTAAAATAAACCTGTTTACTGAATTTACAACACATGCATCTTTGTTTATGCCCAATATATACACATGATAAATTTAAGATTAGGTCTTGCAGAGGCAGAGAGAGCAAGAGACAGAGCAAAAGACAGAGCAAGAGAGAAAATGGGATTTTGGAAGGGCTCAGATTAAGTGGGCAAGAAACTGACGCAGAACTGAAAAGTCGAAGTGAATATTCGTGTTCCCCACCACCACTAATTTAGGATATCCTCGCTATTACATTGGTAAAACTGGCACACCTTCTCATAGGAAAAGTGGGGATATGCAAGTGGTGAACATTATATTCGGAGTAAGGTTATGAGACCAGTTAGAAATTACTAATGGGGCTCTGCAAGAAAACAAATACAATGCAAGACAAAACAAAACAAAAGAACAAAAAAAAACCACCCCACAATAAAAAGACAACACAAATAAATAAAAAGACAATACAAATGAGAAGTGAAGGGAAGTGAACCAGAGAGTTAGCATTTATTCAGAAAAAATTATGAACAGGCAATGTTGGGGGAGCAAGGTGGGCCACAAAGACAGAGCGAGAGACTATTTTGAAACAATTTGATTTACAATGCAGCGAATATGCAACACTTGAAGCTGTGCTCCTTCCATTGAAATAAAATTAGTGGATTGTTTGGGTGGGCAACTCACGTAAAAGTTCAGTGACAAAAAGACTTAATGGGGAAAATAAGACAGAAAACTTGAAAAAAACAATACACCGTCTATAAGGGGATACTATTTAATTATATAAAAGGCAGGTAATAAAATACATTTCTCTCTTTCTAATCAGGCAGTGAGGCATAAACTGTTGGGACATACCGCTCGGGGCCACTGCTGTCTGGGACTGAAACACTGGCATTGTACTGCATTGATCATTGGCGTTCGTGGATGTTGGCATTGGGCATGGGCATTCAATCGGAAGTTGTCAAGTATGGCACCCGTTTGGCAACGAGCACATTTTTGGGCATAGCCAACCAGGGTTTTCACATGGGCGTTCAGGGGCGGATGGGCCAACGTCATGATGGGCAACGCAGGGGCAAGTCGATCCAGTACATGGGCAACGGAGATATATGGCCAAAAAAACAAGGAGAGGGAAAAGGGGGAAAAGCAATAAATTTTAATTTAATACAAACTATACTCATTACTCTCAATTAATGAAACAAGATTAAGTTGTTCTGAAGACTAACACAATAACGGATTGCTACATTGACTGTGGCTTAACATTTATGGACCTTAAAATGAGTTACTTGATCTAACTATACTACTTTTTACTTTTAGCATACGATGTTTCAGTAGTAGGCTGGCTCATGAGGGTAGACACAAAACCTGTTGAGATTCAGATTACTGAAATCCTGGGCAAACTGGGAACGTTAATATTCCAGATAATTATATATAATATCTGGATTTGTTTTTTCCTTTAATAAAAACACTAGCTGCCAAAGAAGTCAGTTAATGTACATATGATTCCTGACCAATTTCAATTCTAGTTGGTGTTTATGAACTTCCAAGCACAATTTTTCAAGGAGTTCAGCTTACATATTTAAAATTTAAACAATCTAATGAAAAAGGTAGACCAATCTGATATCAACTGTGAAATGATATACTACCAAATACTGTGTTTAACAAAGTGTCTTTCAAAAAAGAAAAACTGTTGAAATCATATCTGATGTCAAGAACAAGAGTGTAAACTAATGAAATTTCTTTTTAAGTGTTGTCAAGTTTTATAAACATTTTATAGAATTTATATTGAACATGTGTCTAATCACAAGAGTCAACCCACTATAAAATGTGAATAGTAGATAAATCATGATCATTTAAAATCTTCCAAGTTACAGAATAAAATGTTTCTATGCTGTTCTATACCCATATTTAAATCATGCAATCTTCTTAACATTAATGTCTTTGTGCTTCATGTGCAAGCTGTTAAAGTAAGAACAGATGGACAGTTTTAAAAAAGGAAGTTTAAAAAATATTCATCTATCATTGGGTTAAGCCAGCCACCTGCAATGGTTTTCAGTAATACTATAATTGATTCACACATATGGGAAATGGTGCAATTAAGGGTTTTAAGCTCTGTCAATATTTCTAATTAAGATGTTAACTCACTTGAAGTGTATAATTTAGTGGAATCCTGTTAAAACGCAAAGAGGTTTAATACAAACCTCCTCCAACATAACTCAATCTGGGTTTTAATTACAATATAAACTCAAAAACCTTGAGGTTATCTAGTCTAACAGTCATTACAAATGGCTTGTAACTAGACTACTGAGGTCTACAACTGATTTTCTCAATTTCTAGAAATGCATGTAATCAGGTTTAAATGCAGTGTTCTGAAAGAATCGTTAAATTAGTTCGAACTCTCAAATACTCACGTCTGTACGAAGTGCCTTAATATTTTTGCCACCTTTTCCAATCACTGCTCCAGCATTCTGAAAAAATATTCAAAAATTACACAATGCCAATGCGAATTTTATTTTTTCCAAAGAGAAGTAAGTTTAAAAGTGACATTTACTTTTGCACCAGGTTGATTTTAGGATGCCTTTAAAGACATTTTTTAAAAAAGGGTTCAAATTAAATGATGGTGAAGAAACTGAGACAAGCTATGCAAACTGAAAAAAGGCTGATAGAGCTGCTAATGCTCAATTAAGAAAAAGCAAAATTTTGCAATCTAATCAAATTTCCATGTCAACTTTAAATTTCTGGGTGTTTCAGTCTGCATCACTACAATATCAAGATATAGTTCACCTCTGAAAAGTGACATTGGAGAAAAAATGCATTATGAGGTTCCACATTTCTTGTGTAGGTCAATGGCTTTCAGATTAAATCTGTTCAGTTTAAGAGGTTTATCCTCTTAATTGCCAGCACTATAAAATTTGACTTTTAGATTGTACAATGCTCCTTGACCACTACTTGTAATAAAGTGTCTACAGTCCAAGTGTTGCCCTTGATTACCCCTATGCAACTCCCATTTCACATGTAGAATCCACCATGTTGTGTAAAGTTAAGAACGGTAAAAATCTTACTTCAACTAAAATAAAGTAGGTATAATTGAATACCTATAGAGAGATTTGCTGAGTAAGGTGATGCCAATTTAGACGGTCACTTTTATGAATAAGTCTGCATTTCAAGTTTTTGATTAGCAGAATAAATTTGCAACAGTCTATAAAATTGGTAGATGTTCAACTGGCAAATAAATGTATCAAACTAGGCTGTTACACTGACTGGTATATTAAAATCTCTTGATTACTATGCAACAGGTTCTTGGAATACCACGTACAGTTAAAGAAACATAAATCCCAACACTAAAAACCCCAAATAGAATACTTTACTTCAGCAAAATGCAAAACCAAGCTGTGCCCAAATTTTGATGACTGTAGGGCAATTTCTGAGAGAACCAAGGAGTCAGCCAAAGCACGATTATCACCTTCTGTCTCAGAGTCACAGATAAATATAGACACAGTGGGGGTAAATCCTAAACTAGAATAAACTGACATATAAAAATGTACATCCACTGAGGAGCTACCCTGTATTCTTCCACACTGCTGTTTGTTTACTATGAGCGTAACTTTAAAAACAGCACTGTTGAAAACCAGAATTCTAAAAATTCACAGGCATAATTTCCTCCCCCATATTCAAGTTCATGATCCCAATTTAACAATGTTCCCCGTACAGCCTTATTATCTGAGGTTAATGAATGATATTTGGGTTCAAATAAACAATATTTAGTCCAGGCCCAGAAAATAGCCTGCACTTTAGCTGTTATAGTTTAACTTCTTGGTTACTGGCTTAAAATATGAGACCTTAAAATCACCAAGGACTAATCCTTGTAAAATTACATTAAAAAAAAAAAATCACCTTTTCTCTGCAACATCCCATCACCACATTCAATATTCCAAACCAGTCAAGTTTCATTTGACTATTTTAAAAGATGAACTACACAGTATTGCTATTTCTGCTACAACACTACACATTAGTTCTCTCAGCAGAGTGAAAAATAAAGGTTTTCTTTACATTTTTTTTATAAACCTTCAACTAGAAACTCAAGCACCAAGATTATATGCTTTGCTATGATTGTCTACATAATTACTACAACACACTTTAAAGGGGCAACATATTTCAAGTATATTACTTTGCTCTGAAGCAGGATGCGCAGTTCTACCATTTCATCAGTGTTGCGAGATCTTTTGAAAGCCTGTTCTTCTTCCATATCTTCTGCAGGACGTTTTCCTATAGTTTCATAGGGAAGGAATGCAAACACTCATTTAGCTTTCTCTATGCCATATTCAAAACGTGTGCACTTCGACCACACGGATCAATGTTCTTGATTAAGCTTTCTGTCTGATTAAGCAGATACCAATGTCAAATCCATAAGCTGAATATACTGAATATCTGTAACAAAATAATTTACAATTCCAATACAAGAATTGTGGTAATTAAGATTCTTACAGAATGATGACCTTAATATTGCAATCATTTATAATCTATGAAGTACAGTTTAAACCAAGATGTTGGGGGTTTGTTGCTTTCATGAAATTTAGGACTCACGATTTATTAAGACAGCACTAGTGTCATCATGAGAACGTTTTAGAATTTACAAAATTCTCAAAAGATTAACACTAACATATCCAAAAGGTTGAAAGCAGTTTACCCCATTGCTGAGTACTACTGGAATAATTTGCAATGGAACAATTCAAATACTCTCTTCACAAGTTGGCATCAATTACTATGAAAACTGAATTATTGCTGCTGTTTTAAATTTTACCACTGATTAGAAGATCTTGAGTAAGCACTATGTGTAGCTCTTTTGTGCAAAATACTAAGTAAATAAAAGCGTGCAACAATGATGCTGACTAGTACTTGCTTCTGTTGAATACAAATACGAGCTAAATAATGGATGGGTAATGAAACAATTTTTAAATCCTTAGCTTTGACACTTATTTGATTAACAAAAACATGCAGTAATGCACTGACAAGATAGCTAACCAAACACACAGCACTGAATCAAAATTAAAAATATAACATTACTGGACCATTAAGAAATTCTAAAGTGTCATAATCAATGCATAAGAGGTACTGCTACCTATGGTCCTGAAAACATTCAGTACATCCAAGGTTTTATATATATAGTTCTTTTATAGAACTTACCATTTGTCTCTGTGTTGGTAAAGGTCTCCTCTTGCTGTTCAGTCTCCATCACTACCTTTTATTTTTAGACTGGTAAATGGAACCTGTTAAAGAAGAAAAAGGCTAGCACAAGTACTCTTTACAGAAAAAAAATCAAACTGCATCTTGCTAAAAGGAACAATCAAAGAGACAACTGCTTCTAGAACTTACGATTATATATCCTTGCAGAGCAAAACTGAAGTGTTCTGGGCGGGATCAAAACCAACAGCCTATTGCTTCAGCAGCCTATGAAAACCAACATACATTAGTTTTAGTCTTGTTCATTTACAGTTATAGTCACAGTCTTGAACGAAAGCACATCGAAGTTGATGCATTGAGCTTTCACTGTTAACACTATTATCCAGTTTTTCTTTAGACTCAGACAGCATGAGGCCTTAACATAAAAAGGCCAACAACTGATTTTTCCCACTTCCAGTTAAAATGTAGTTACTGAACTATTGTTTTGCATTTGTTCATAATTTTCAGATTATGTTTAGCAGCATTTCAGTATTCACATTTTACTCAACAAATGGGAACTTCAAATTCTAAAATTAAATGAGCCAAATCAATCATTATTACACACAGTACACTAACACTTGCACTTCACACTTATGCAAATCTTATTTTGAGGAGTTTCCATAGTCTATCTGTAAATAGGAGAGTACTCAAGTACAATTACAAAAGCCAGTAACAATGTATTAGCCACATCAACTTGTTCTTAATAGGGCTTTTATCTGCAACATCAGCTATGAGTCGTTAGAATGATAAAATCTACCTGTAAACTTAGACAGGATGACTTTACTAAAAGCACTGCATTGTATAAGCATATTTTACCCTCATGTATACATATACAACGGCTATCAAACATTAAAAGCAGTTGAATGCATTCAAGTGTAAACTATACATTTGCCTGCTTGTGTAAGTCTGCATAAGAATGTTCAAAAATTGCATTGTCTGAAATCCTATGAACTATAGATACGAACAGTATTCTTTAAATCCCCATTTCAACTAAACACGTCAAAAAATGGGTTTCCTAGGCTAACAAAAACTCCATGCTGGTTTAGAATTCTTGGTAGTCTAACCTTGAAGTTTGACTTAATATTGTTGATTAATTCAGGGTAGTTAACATGTTTATGCAGACCAATGGACGCTACCCATAGTAATATTATAAAAGGTTGCATTATTCTAGAAACAAATATTTGGAGTGTCCAAACTAACCTTTGTAAATGTATATTAACTATCTGAAATTAACGCCACTATTAACTGGGGGATAAAAAAGTCTAGTGCAGACATATTTTCAATTCTGTATTTCTGCCACAATCGAGGAAAATAGTGAACTCCAGAAAGTTCAAATGGATTGTGAATATATATGCCCCTGGGGATGTAACCGTGACATTTCCGAGCCTTATTTACATTGCTACTAACACCACTAGGAAAGCCCATAGACGTAGCCATTGATACGCCCCATATTTACTGAGCTGCTCAGAGACGGCTGGAATGCTCCCAAACGGGAGTGGTGTGTGGCTAATTCACGCTGGCTATAGTGCCAGGGTAGAAAATGGCGATTCAAAAGCATTATACGAATAAAGCAGCAAGTCATAAACACTGTACAAGAACCGATATTCATTAGGGCAGTGGAAGGGAGATTAGAGTGCCTACAACGTGCCCTGTGCGGGTGTAACCCCTTTGCGCATCGGGACGGGAGGAGCTAGCGGAGATTTGCCACAACAGCCGCACCGCACGATGCGAAGCGGGGGAGGGTCGGCCGTCACCCCAACCTACTCGCCCAACAAACGGGACGGGACATTCGCTGTCTGAGAAGCGAGCAGCCCGCCGCAGGACTCGGCCGGTCTCGGTGTCGGCTCTGAGATAGCTGTCCCGCCCCCAACCCCCCCCGCTGGCTGAGCCACCCAGCCTAATCCACCCGGGGGCCGCGTCGCGCTCAGAAGGGGAGGAAGAGGCCGACCGGCCGAGTTATATAATCTCTTCTCCCCCCGAAATGACTCCGGATCTTCTCTCTTTCACGGCGGCAGTTCAGGGAGAAGAAATGGCGGCCGCTGTAATGGCGCCTATGCGCTGCTAGGCGGAGCCGGGAGCGGAAAAGCCACCACCACGCGGTCACACGGAGGCCTACCCCCTGGCTGCCCGGGCGGACACAAAAGAGGCGCCTGGGAGCCCTCGCATCATGTCCTGCTCGGGCGGATAAAGGCCTCCCAGCGAGAAAGGAGCCCCCCGCCGCCACGATCGCCCTGTGGGAACCGAGGCCCAACCCGGATCCCACGGAAATCGACACAGGCCCTGCCCTGTATAGGTCACAGGCCGCCGCGCAAATTAGACGCCTCTCCCCGATTGCGCGCCCTGATCCCACCCCAGCCAGTCCCCCACACCGTTAACAAAACTAGCTCGCGGAGATCAGCGCTTCTCCCATCCGCCATGGCCGACTGCGGTGGGAGAGGGGAGAAACTCAGCGTGTGCGGGGACACGGCGAGGGGGGCTACAATCCCTCAGGGCACTGACCCACTCAACCCACCCCAGCGAAGGGGGAGACTTCTGCTCCCGTGCAAAGGAGGCAGTGCCCTGGTGCGGGAAGGGAGCTGGCAACGTGACAGTGTAGGCCAAGGCCCGGTTACAACCAGGCCGCCCGCATCGCTGTGTCAAGAGACGGATTGGCGCAAGCGGGGCCCGACTTCATTTATAGCGGGAGGAGGAATCCCACGCGCTGCGATGTCCCCCCCTCCCCTCAGGGCCTCTCCTGGCTGCATCTTACCGCGCTGCGCGCTCGCTGGTCCCCGGCAGCAACACACCAGCCGCTGCCCCACCGACTGGAGTGTGAGAGAAAGGAGTGTGGAAAGGAGCAGCCCCCACCACCAACGCGCACACAGAGAGCACTTTGAGCCTATTGGTTCAGCCTACAACCCAAGATGGCACGTCACGGCTCTATTGGCTAGTAGAGCTGCCCATCGCGGCTAAGGCGGTTCCCACTTAGCCCCGCCCTCCGTGGTAGCTACGCAAATCGATTTGGGCCCGAAAACCGTAACAAAGGTGCCCGGCTTTATTCTCCGGTCGCTCCGTATCGCACCGGTATGTCGGACACCCTTTACCTGACAGGCAGGAGTCACGCTAAAGGCGACGACAGCAACACGAACCAGCAGGCGGTGTAAGGGAGGCAAGAGCGACCTCCGTCGTGTGGAGAGAAAATGGCGTTTGTGAAAACTCCGCCTCCCTCGTCCGTCTCCGAGATGGGCGAAGCTCTCGCGAGGTTCAAAGTCGCGCGCGCTTGGCAGGGCAGTTCCCGGCTCTAAACGATCGTTAGGTTTTAGGCTCGTGCTGTGGGGAGAGTATGGAGCACGCCTAGTTCTGCGCATGCAGACAGCGCGCGCGTGTGTTATGAAGCGCGGGAGGAGTGGTCTCTGTTGCCCATGCCTGGCCGCTTGGCTCGCTGCCCCCCCCCCGGGAGCGGGTAAGTGGTGCCGCTCCCCGCGAGACGGGGTTGGTTGGGGCTGGTACCTAGCGCGTGCTCCTCTGACTCCTCCAGCCCCACTGCCGTGGCCGTGACACTCACAGCTCCTTGCAGCCGGGCTCTACCTAGAGCCTAGGGGCCGTGGCGCCTGCGCTCTCAGCCGGTTCGAGCGCCGCAGCAATGTGGTGAAGGTGTTAACAGATGGTTTCCTATGTCCGCTTTCGGCCGCATGTCTGGGCGGCACCAATGGCTGCTCTTGTTTGGAAAGCAGCTAAATCCACTGCTTTTGGGGCAGGGCCTGCGTTGCCTTCTGTCTATGGGGCACCCACAGCACTGCAGGAGGCACTGCAATACAAATGGCAAAAACAATTTACAGCAAAGCAATCCGTCCCATTGTAATCATACTGAAGCCAATGGCCCCTGCTTGCACAAGATGACCAGGCCCATAAATATGTGAACGCACCTCTTTCTTTTCACTTGGGGGAGGGGAGAAAGTTTGCTTGACTTGCAACGTGACTGATTCAGGCAGAAGTTTAGGCCAGGTTGGCTTTTGCCACAGACTAATATATAATTTCGAATATCCGAGAGGAGAAAGGTCTTTTTGGCTTCTGCTCTTATAATGCTGCTTCCATAGCTCCTTTTAAAAAAGCAGAAATAATAAAATGTTAAGCTTTCAGATTACATAATAATGAAGTAAAAAAGAATACAATCCAGCTGTGTATGGTTTATTGATTTTTCTTGTTTCTTTTGTTGATCAGTTTTTAAGACTATATAACCTCCAAAAGAGTTATTAGTAATATGAGTGTTCCCCAAGGCCTCACTGATAGAGTTTGGGACTATCTCTACCTGGAATTGCAGTTTAGTCAAGGTGCCTGGCTGTATGATTTCACATCTTTAAAAGTACTCTGCAACTGGATTCAAGACTTGGATGTATCTAGATGCTACTTTAGTTCTAAAGCTTTCATCCAGTTACAGCACTTTTAAGGTCCCCTCTGTGCCATAATTGTACACAAATCCCCTGAGTTGCTTGTAGAATAGATGGGTCCTGGCACTTCTGTGCATAAGTGTACTGGCAGCAGTGAAAATAAGGACTATGTTCCCTTCAAAAGTAGAGAAGGTACTAGAGCCATTCCGGGAAGAAGAAAAGCAACCATAAACTGAGGCTGAGGAGGACCTCCCAGCCTGCTTCCACTATTTAGTCTGGCAGGGTGGGAGGGAGATGAGAGGATGACAGCAAGAGTTCTTTCTGCCAGCAAGAAGAAAGATTTTTGAGTCGCAGGCTTGTTAGAAGTCTGTACAAAAGATGGAGTCACCAAGATGGGTTCCAGGAGAGCAGCCTAGTAAAAATCTCAACACGTTCTCAGTTCTTTCTGGTGACCAGCTGGATACTTAGGCCTTGTCTACATTGCCATTTACAGCATTGAAACTTTATTCACTCAGGGGTGTGAAAGAACACCCCTCTGAGCAATGTAAGTTTCAGTGCTGTAAAGTGGCAGTATAGATCAGACGCCATCCGATGGTCCAGGGACATCTACATCGAGCACATCACCGACCACCGACAGTACCAGGAGGCATGAGCCAGAGTGACATCGTTCTCCCACTATGAGAAAGAGACCAAGTGACCTTCTCCGTTGGATCATATGAACTGGAACCATAAACTCCCTGAACATAGAGGCCTTGGCTACACTGGCAATTCACAGCGCTGCACTTGCTGCGCTCAGGGGTGTGAAAAAACACCCCCCCTGAGTGCAGCGCTGTAAAGCGCCAGTGTAATCAGCGCCTGCAGTGCTGCACGCTCACTCGCAGCGCTGCAAGCTATTCCCCTCAGAGAGGTGGAGTACTTGCAGCGCTGCGAGAGAGCTCTCGTAGCGCTGGTGGCGCGACTACACTCGCGCTTCATAGTGCTGCCGCGGCAGCGCTGTGAATCCGCGAGTGTAGCCAAGGCCTAAATCTCACCAAATGAGGGTCAATCCATCTTCATCATCATATCCACTCATTATTATTCACACCCGAACATAGCCACTTTATGAACTTCATACCCTCATATCTCAATGTCTGTACTTTGACCCATCAACCTTTTACCCCCAATCGGGGATATTGCAGATTATGTATTCCTCATGCCAGCTTATCTTAAACCAAACTTTGCACCCTCGATAATCTGTATGTTATTCCCTGATAACCAGAAACTTCTATGCTCAAACTCTGTTCACTATTTTTTTTTTAACATCATCTTAATAAAATTTTTCAAGTGCTACAGCGCTAGGAGCCTCCCCTCACAGCGATGGTTTTATTACAGCACCGGGAGAGCTCTCTTCCCAGTGCTGGAGCCACGACTACACAGCCGCATTAACATTGGTTGTGTAGACAGACCTTAAGATTGTATATGCCAGTTGGAGTTTATTTGCTGACTACATCAAGGCCACGCTTAAATATTGAAAATATGTGTATGTTTGTTTTAGAATTCCAGTTCTACAGCTATGCATTTATAACTTATTTAAAGTTTCTTTAAATTGTTTCTGTGTGTGGTCATTTTGCCTTATTTCTCTCTGGTCACATATGTGGAGTAGCTACATTTCTATATTTCTGCTGTAGAATACAAATTAGTAAGTGGCCGAAGAATAAACTTTTTTTTGTTTCTTTTCAGGGGATTCATACATTTTTTTCCCTATAACTTAAAAGAAAATGAGTGCATCTAGTGTTGCAGGAAAAGTGGAAACCTGGCTTTCTTCTACGTGGCATGTTAAAGTTCCTCTGACTTGGCTAGAAGCTTGTATTAACTGGATCCAACAAGAAAATGGTTGTAATTTAACTCAAACTCAGATTAACAAACAGGTATTTGAGCAGTGGCTTCTTACAGATCTGAGAGATTTGGACTATCCTGTTTTGCCTAACTGCATCTTAGATGGTCCAAAAGGAGAACTGAATGGCTTTTATTCCATACAGATTGATTCACTGGTGGATGTTAGCCAGCCTGCGTATTCCCAGTTGCAAAAGATAAGAGGAAAAAATACTGTAAATGAAGAAGTAACAGCCAACACTCAGGCACCCCAAAAGTCCTGGGAAGCAAAGCCTACTCGAATGCTGATGCTGCAGCTAACTGATGGAATACATCAAATTCAGGGTATGGAATACCAACCTGTTCCTGTCCTCCATAGTAATCTTCCACCAGGTACAAAAATTACAATACAGGGTAAGACTGCATATCGTCTTGGAGTTCTTTTGCTAAAATCAGAAAATGTGAAATTGTTGGGGGGCGAAGTAGATGCTCTTTTAGAAGAGTATGCTCAGGAAAGAGTCCTTGCCAGATTAATTGGAGAAGCTGAGAACCCTAATCCTGTCAAGCAGCATGATCATAAACAAGGAATTTTAGGAGCGGTTGATGAACTAGGACAAACTCTAGGACCTTCAGATGAAGAGCTTCTAGCAAGTCTTGATGAAAATGACGAATTTACCATAAATCATGTGATTCCTTTAGAAAGTGGATATTGTAGCAGAAGTAATAACTCAGATACAGCCACTCATTTGCTCCTTTCAAGCAATGAAAACTACTCACAACAGGGATTTGGGATCTTCTTGCCTGGGGCAAATGAAGAACGAAGTGTTCCAGCTGTGGCATATGTTGATGGAGATTTAGATGACCTCTCATTGGAAGATGACTTGTTTTTAGAAGAAGAGATCCAAGAAGAAATTCAGACAGTGCAGTTACCGGTGGTAAACAAAACCATAGATATAATTACACAAAGACTTTCACATATGCCTAGATCTTCACTAAGTTACACATCTGAAAAAGATGGCAGGGTTCAGTTGGATTCAGTTAGCAAAGAAAAATCCTGTGGGAGTGAACTGTCTGTTGGTGATGAAAGTAGTACAAGTAATTTTTCACTACACCATAATGTACAACACTCCCAGAGCTTTAGCAATTTCTCCTCCTTGGAAAATGTTCTTGAACAGAAGTGTAATAAAATAGATGTAGTTAAGAGCAGTCAAAAAAATTGTAGTTTTTCTGGTAACAGATTGTTAAACAAAAGACCAGTTAAAAAAACTGATTCAGAGATAAACAAACAAAATTATTGTGTACAAACCTTTTCTTACAGAACAACAGAGAAATGCAAAAGTCTTGAGTTAGATTCCCCACCTTTTACATATATTTCTGTTCTACTCGCAAATACCCCAGAAACTGTTACAACAGTGAAAGTTAAAGCTTTTATTGTAACCCTTACTGGAAATCTCACAAGCAGCAGTGGCTTCTGGAGTATAATGGCAAAAATCTCTGACGGTACCGCTTATCTAGAGGTAGACATTGCTGATGAAATTCTAACAAGCTTAATTGGATTTTCAGTGCCTGAAATGAAACAGTTAAGGAAAGATCCCATTCTACATCAAAAGCTTAAGGATGGTTTACAGAAATGCCAAAGAGAACTGATAGATCTTTGTTGTTTGATGACTATTGAATTTAACCCCTTTCAATCTAAAGCAACAGTACTAATTTTACAAGATGTTGATGCAGTAGATCTAGAAAACTTGAAGAAACGTTTAGATAAATAATTGGAGGAAAAAGTCTATAGAAAGTAGTCTCAGGAAATATGTAATTCAAGGTATAGCAAATAAGTATTGAGAACTCCATTAAGAAGTCCAGTGGTTTGTGTTTGTTTTTCTTAACTGCAGGGAGGGACGGTGGAGGGGAATATCCATTCTTTAAGGGAAACTATTTGAATAAAAATTACAAATAAATTTGTTTTGATAAAATGTTCATGTATCTAATTATTTTTACAAAAGCCACCTTG